TTCATCCCAAGATCTTCATCCCAGGATCTTCATCCCAGGATCTTCATGCCAGGATCTTCATCCCAAGATCTTCATCCCAGGATCTTCATCCCAGGATCTTCATCCCAAGATCTTCATCCCAGGATCTTCATCCCAGGATCTTCATCCCAGGATCTTCATCCCAAGATCTTCATCCCAGGATCTTCATCCGAGGATCTTCATCCCAGGATCTTCATCCCAGGATCTTCATCCCAGGATCTTCATCCCAGGATCTTCATCCGATCTTCATCCCAGGATCTTCATCCCAGGATCTTCATCCCAGGCAGCACAGCAAGAGGGAAAAGGCTGACTATTCATGAAAAACTTGTTATAGAGTTTCATGAGCACAAATTGCAATCTAAAAGAAGAACATGAAGTGAAGATGAAAATCCTTGTCAGTCAGGAGATGGAGAGAGACACGAAGCAGCAGCAAAACGTCTGTTTCTAACCTCACACCCAGGCGTCCTGGCCCCTCGCCTGGGTGAAGCGGGCTGCGACCTGACCTTCAGTCTTCCGGGAAAAGTAGGTCGAACCAGGGGGATTCCAGCTGAAGTTTACCCAGTTTWCCCCCTGTGTCATTATGAAATAAAAATGTTCCATTACAATCATGATTCAAACAAAATTTATTCAAGAATAAACCAGATTTTCTCCTCTGAACTATGTGCAAAATGATAAATGTAGTCAAACAAAATCCAGCTGATAACTTGTGGATCACTCAACTGTTTGTCTTCATAAAAACTGCTGCACAGCAAAGCTGTTTCTATAACAGAGGAGCCCAAAGTGGGGCCCGCGGGCCAAATTTGGCCCGCCAAGCCATTTGATTTGGCCCACCAGCAGTTGAGTAAGTTACTAACCTGTAACCTGTTGTTCTTTGTAGAAACAGTATTTCCACTTAGTCATTTAATCCATTGGCCAAGTGACTAAATAAGGGACTGTAGTGCAGATAGTTTTCACTCATGGTGTTGACTTTATCTTTGAAATATTAAGATTAAACATGAAGCATGAAATACAAGTAACAAGATTTATTTAGATTAGATTTAACCACACATGTTAAGGTTCTCAGGCAGGAATGAACCCATGATGCAGGCAGTGCAAGGTTCCAAAAAGAACAAAGATTTATTAAACAAAAAGGTGCTGACTGGGCAGCTCAAAAACCTCAGAGAGMCGTGGCAAGGCAGGCCAAGGCAAAATACTGAATACAACCAAATATTACCAAACAAACAATGACTCGACAGGGAAGTGAAGACAAGAGACAGAATTTAAAGGTGAAACTAATGAGCACAAACAGGGAACACCTGGGGGAGAAACATGAGGATCAGGTGTGAGTGGGCGGGGCTGGAGCAAGGGCAAGACAGGAGGAAGAAAACAGGAACATGACAGAAACTAAAATAAAACACTAACAGAGACAAGAATCATAACAACACATGTAGATTTTTGCACTTTATAAGGT